TTTAAATATGTAAATCCCTTTATTGTCCAACAATGGAGAAATTAACTCCCTGCATTTTGACCCATAAACTTTGCGATCTGCCAATGTTGCTAACGATACATTCACGAGTAGACACACACACCTCAGATTCTCCTATGTGGAAATAAAAGGGTATGAAAATGGTCTGAATGAGCTCTATGTCATTTATCTCTCCAAAAAATTGATTCAAGATTGATTTTGTGAAATCTTAGAATCTTTCAAGCCTTTTTTGGACAGACTTTAAACAGAACTGGACCTTCCCTCTTCACCCACTCAGTGGATTACACCCACCTGGCTGCAGAGGTGTTGTCCCAGGCCGGGCCTGCAGGAGGCGCTGTGGTAGATGACCGGCTGTCTGGAGCTTAAGACGGCATATCCTTCAGTGGTATACTCCTCGTATCGGGCGTTGATGGCCAGTCGGCAGACCTTTACCAGGCCGTCTCGGTCATCTTCGTGGAAATACGCGGAACCGTTCTCGTACCTGCAGGTCAGGCGGGTTCTCATTACATGTAAACATCAACCCACCGAATGTTCGGAGGACAGAGCCCCTGTTTCCTAAGCTGCTTCATAGAGAGAAAAGCAAAAGGCTATACGTGGCTCAGGAGCCACACTGGTCTAACCCTCTGATGAAAACCTGTCAGAGCCTTTACTGGATGCCCTGCAGGTTTTTACCTGAAGATCCTGCAGAGCCACAGCGTGGTGTCAGACAGGATCCTGGTGGTCAGCTTCAGGAGGCGCTCTCTGTCCAGCACTGAGATGTAGGCGGCCAGGCTGTGACCCAGTAAGGCCATGTGGCCCTGTTCCCCCACATTCTGCATCCTGCTGGAGACAGGCAGAAGATAACAGCATTAATAGGTCCAATCTATGGGTCAGGTTCTGTTCAGAGCGCTTCACAGGTGCCACCTGTTCTGGGAAGCATTCAAGGACCTGATCAGAGCTCGTGTTCGGAGGTTCTTTCAGGTCAGTAAATTAATTTGTCTTTTTTTCATTGGTGACAATAAGCCTGAGGACGCGTCCCTGAATCAGAGACCAGCTGTTGCTCATTTGACATTTTCCCCAACAGTTCGTGGCTCCAAACACAGAACATGCTTCAACCATTAGGAGGCGCTTCTATCTGCAGCTCACGGATTTTAACTCAGCATGGTTGACCTGGATTTCATTAAGCGAGACAAAAAGTACTGCCAGCATTCCCAGGTCCAACAGATCCTCTAGAGGTCGCAACCTGCAGCACTTCTGTCTGATCAGAACCAAAAGCTTTGGGTCAGATTAAATGGACAACAGGTAAGGAGAGGAGCAGATCAGGGTGAAGACAGGAGCAGCTACAGACCAGGCAGAGCGAGAGGACCAGAGACCAGGCAGAGAGAGAGGACCAG